AGTCCAGTGTTTTCTCTCATGTGCAGAAGCTAAAGCAAAATAAGGGGAAAAAGTGCAGAGGGGGGTATCACCAAAAATAGAAGGGATATATTGGAGCAAAGGAAGGGGACAAAGAGGAAGGGAGGAAGAACGGGAAAAGGGAGGAACCATGGAATGAAATTGACCAAATTATGCTACGTACATATGTCAAAATACCACAGTGAATTTCACCTTTATGTATATCTTTATGTRTATAAAGCACTTTTTATAAAATAATGAATATATGGAAGGAAGATCTGTGAAGCCAAGGAAGAGGATGGGGGAAGGRAGAAGGAAGGTAAAGAGAAAATACTAGGGACTGAAATGGAACAAATTATATTTCATGCATGTGTGGTTATGCCAATATGAATCCCAATATTATGTGTAATTAAATGCACTAATAACATTTTTCTAAAAGCATATTTTTTAAACTCCATGTGTTTGTATAGTTTCTGTATTTTTTTCTGTTCATGTCTAATTTATTCTGTAATGATCTAATAAGACACAAGAAATTATTTCAATTTTTTTTTTGTATTTCTATGGCTTGTTTGCGGCCTAATGTATGATGTATTTTGGAGGAAGTTCAGTAGGTAGCTGAAAAGTATATGAAATTGCTATTGGGTTAAATATTCTTCAGATGTCTGTTAAATCCATTTGATCTAAAAATTATTTTAACTCTATAATATCTTTGTTGATTGTTTTTCTTGTTAGTATGACTTATTCATTAGTGAGAGTGGTACACTGAAATCACCCACTCCTATGGTATTGGGGTCTATGTGTTCCTGTAAGTCAAGTATTGTTCATTTTATGAAATTGGATGCACTGGCATTTGGAGCATAAAYATTTACCATCATGATATTTTCTTTAAAAAATATTAGTTCTTTGTAGTTATGTCATTATGTAGTTATGTCRTTTTGACATAAAAGCATGGAATAGAATTTGCTCTAATTCAGTCCGGAGAACTTCCCCTTTTCCTCTCTTTCTCTCTCTCTCTCACACATTCCCTTACCTCTAATCTTCKGACCTTTCTGCTATTTATTATTTATCTTTAAATTAGTGCCTTATGGATATATGGTATATTCACATATGTACATAGGAAAGTTAGGTCAGATTTATTCCACACAATCATTACATATGCTTCTTGGATTGTTCCCTTAACCAATACCTAATGATCTTTGTCTCTTATGATAAATTTTGGCTTGATAAGCTTTGTTATATATGAATATAGATACTCTTGCTCTGGATTTCATTTGCATAGAATATAATTTTCCATTCCTTCACTTTCAGTTTGTTTATGTTTTTGCCAATGAGGTGTTTTTCTTAAAGACAACATATATTTGGAACTTGGTTTATAATATAGTTTGTCAGTCAATGTCTTTTAATTGGAGAATTAGAACCATTTACATTCAGTGTTATTATAGAGAGGTATGTATTAATTCCTGTCATTTTCATTTTATCTTTAATATTTCATTCTTAACTCTCATTTACTTATCTATTCTTCTAATGAGATTTATTATTTCATGTGTGCTCTTGATTGTGTTTATCTTCTGCRTGTAGAATTCCTTTGAGTATCTTCTGTAATGCTGGCTTCTTGGTCTTGAAGTCCTTTTGTTTTATCTTAGAAGGTTTTTATTTCTGCTTCAGTGTGTATAGAAATCTAGGGTTGCAATTATTTTCTCTCAGGGGTACACTTTAAGTTGTTTCAAGTCTGCCTGGACTGAGAAATATTCTGTTGTTGCAAATGGTTTGCTTTAAATGAGTATTAAGTTGTTTCTCTTTGTGTTGTTCAGGGTTCTTGTGTATTCTGATTCTTTTTTTTTCTTTTAATTGTGACCATGTGTTCAGGTTCCACAACCTTGTCTTCAGTTCTGAAATTCTGTCTTCTTCACTTAGTCTATTGGTGAGACTTTCAATTGAGTTCTTCATTTGATTTATTGTGTTTTTCATTTCTGTTTGGTTCTTTTCCAGATTTCTATAGAATTTTTCATTCATATCCTGTATTGTCTTCCTTTTTAATTCTTATTTTTTAAAAAACTGTTTTTAGATGTAGATGGACATAATACCTTTATTTTATTTATCGTTATGTGGTGCTGARGATTGAACCCAGTGCCTCACTTGTGCTAGGCAAGCACACTACCACTGAGCTACAACCCCAATCTCTTGTCTTCCTTAATTCATTCAGTTATTTGTATGAATTCCTTGATCATTTTGTCTYTCAATTTTCTGAATACTTTGTCCAATTTTTTTCTACTTTGTTATCTATGGATTCAGTTATTGGGGAGTTACAAACTTTTGGAGGCATCGCGTTGACCTGTTTTCTCATGTTTCTTGTCATTCTCTGTTGAGGTTTGCATATCTGTTGGTATGGCTTTCTTTTTCACTATTGTGTGTGGGGGAGGTCTTTTAGTGAGATATTGTATCTTTACAATATGCATTGGGTTGTGGGTATACCTCAGTGTCAAAGCACCCACTTAGCAYAATGTAAGCACTAAATTCATCTCCCAGCATCACTGTGAAAGGAGAGAATAACCACCATGAGCAATGGTATTTTAAGATTCAACCATATGTCAAAATATAATAAAAACTTATATTTGATCTCTGCAACTCCACTAAACAAAGAGAAAAGAGGATGAATAATATACATGAAGTTGAAAAAATAGGCATTAATGATAGCGTACTTAATAATGAAATATATAAATGGAAAGGAAAAGAAAGAAGAGGGAGGGAAGATAGCAGAAATGAGATACAATGGAATATACATGAGAAAGGCAAAAAGAGATATTGAGAAAAATTCAATTAATTGAAAAAAATACATATAATTAGAGGACAGGAAGAAAATGAAGAAAACAAAATAACTTATAAAAGCATAAGCAAAAAGTAATAACAACAATGAAAATCCTCATCTTGCTGAGATGATAAAAATGGACACACTTCTGGAGCTTCAGATTTAACGTACACCAGATATGGTAAATTCRTGGGGTGTAATTGCAGATCAGTTTGTTTCTTCTCAGTTCTAGTCCACACAGGCCAAACATGATAGTGAAGTTTACAGGCTCAGCTCTACCCCTTCTTGCCCAAGGAATACTGTGGGAACATCCATTGCAGAGCCACTTTAACCTCAGTATTTCTGAATTTTATGMCTGGGGATATGGGTGTGGATATGGTAGGGCTTAGCCCTCTTGCCTACAGGGTCTGGGGACCGATTCAGTTTTTATGATTTCTGGCCCTACACCCCAAGAGTCAATCCATGTGTTGAGCACCTATGTGGCAGGAGACTGGAGTCGGGTGGGGAAGTATTCATGTTGCAGTGGTACTGAATCCTCCAAACACCTCTGAGCATGAGTCAGGTAGTCAGGCCCACTTTGTCCATGGTAGGATGATGTGCTGCAYGAGTAGGGTTTCCACTAAATCCAGGATCAGCGCTCTGGTACCCAGGCCACTCCCACATCCAAATCCTGCTGCTCTCAGACCTTGTTCTAAACCTTAGATTGCCAATTTCCAAGGACCTGTTGTTATGCCTGCTGTAGCCCAGAGCTCCTCACAGGTTCATTCTACAGTCTCACTCCTGAGCCCTGGCTAAATTTTGGTYCAGGCATCTGGCGTCCAGTGAAAAAAGAGAGWTTTATGATCTCCTGCATAGAAGGTGTAGGAAAATGCAGAGTGCTAGTAGTCTCWTCTTTCACACCTTATCACCATGCAATATTAATTCTCTGCTTGGACTACTTATTTGCCTAATAGTAGAGTCTGTTTTTCTTGAATTCAATAGGATTCCTTTTTTTTGAACATCTAGAGAGGAGTTTCCCTTCCCTCTCCAAGTAGCCACATGCCTGGCACTGTATAGTCTATKTCTTTTTCTCTTTTATTATTCTAAAAAGCAAACAAAAAATATTTCTGGAGTCAGACTCCAGTGCTTTCCCAATACTMCCTTATCTCATGTGCAGTCACACAACTGTTGATGTCAATTCCAATCCCATTATTGTTATCCAAAACTAGAGAACTGACATCTTTCCACACTGATCCTTTTAAATAAAGAAACATAGAATATCTCTTCATTTATTTGGGTCTTCTTTGCTTACACCCAGTTCAATATTATGGGTTATTTTTTCCAGAAGTCTTACATATACTTGCCACATTTATTTCTGTCTCTTGTYAGCAGCATAGGATTAGCAATCCATTGTGATATATTTGTTTTATATTCTGATGCCATACTATTTATTATTTGTTTCCCATTTTTTCTTCATTTGAATTAAACAGATATTTAAAAATTTATAATTATGAATTATAATTCTAGGTATATTTTGAGCTCATGAAACATTATCACTTTTAAAATTGTTCATAGCTGTTTATCTCTATTCATTGTATTTACTTCCCAGTGAGAAATTCATTGAAAACTGACAGGATCATGAGTGAGCTTAGCTGACAAGAGACAGTCTATAAACCAAGTACCTTCCTTCCCTTCTTCTCTTGGCCAGACAAAAGGGATTCTAACTGACAGTAGTAGATAACAGTTGTGAAACACCTTGAGAGGGCAGAAAACAAACAAAAACAACATTACATTTAAAAGAGAGTTACATGTATTAAATGGCATGATTAATATTGCTGAACCAAGTTTTCTGAAGTCATGTTYCATAATGGAAAAGAGGATAACTGAGTTCAGAACAGATTTCTGGGAACTTCCTATTGGGTAAAGGCAGTTTGCTTTGAAAAGCAAGTGAACAGATGACCCAAACAATGACAAGCAGATGAAGCGGGAATGAGAGGGGAAGAAAGACAGCAGAAACTTTCAGGGCAGAAAGGAACTTTAATGAGAAGAGGAGAAGTCAAGGAACAATGAAGGATCTCTGAATTGGTGGCATTTTGATTCATACTTGTTAAGTAGAAGCTAGTTCAGGTAGAAGAACTCAAGAATATGAAATGTGCTTTTTACCCTTACAAACATAAATTAGCTTTCCTGTGAATTATACATCATACTTTAAGTCTTTATAGACTGCACTCTGGAAATAAACTTTTCAATGCTCTTTTACAAAATCTGTGTAAGGGAAAGTTGAGAGCTATTTGGAGTACCTAGATAACAAACCCTCTCTTGTAATAATCTCATGTTTATGTACGGAATTGCTTTCTCCATGGAGCCTAGAAAAATTTACGTAGAGAAATTTCTTGAATACTAAGGTGAAAAGTCCAACTTRTTTTGTATTTTCTTTTGCACAGAAATCTGTGGGCTTTGTACCAGGTTTGTTCTACAGAAACATCATTATTACCCATATCAGATATCAACACCAGTAAAAATCTCACATTTCTAACGTTTTCAAACAGAGCTCTCTTCTGTTTCAGTTGAAATATCTTCAGGATTCAGAGACTGGAAAAAAAAATTAACCAATTACAAGTCACATCACGTTTCTTAAAATCATATAAGAAATAGATAATTCTTCAAAACACAATGCTGCTATTTATGGAATAAGATCTTAAAGTGTCTTTTGTCTTATTTCTGTCTCATTATTCTCTCAGTCCATATTCTAAATTCCTATTGAATTGTTTGTAACTTTTGGTATACATCCTGAGTTTTTCAATTAAAATATTCATGGTCAGTTAGCAGGACCTCCAAATTCACCTGAACTTCTCATGATACTTCCCAACTATTAGCCATTCCTTCCCTCCTAGGTAAATGTCATTTTGACTTTTAGGTAATCAATCCCTCATCCCATTTTTTTCCCTTTCTAGTTTCACCAACTGAGCTTGTATCCCTACTTAAGCAATATAGCTTTAGTTTTCCTGGTTTCAAATTTCRTATAAATGTAATACAAAAAAGATGAATTCTTTTAATTCATCTTTGCCTGATAGTAGAGTCTGTCTTTTAATTGTCACAGAGAATTATAATAGAGTAATTTGCCCCAGTTTATTCACCACTCACTCGTTTTTGTTGTTTCCATTTTGGCAAAAAAACACTGTTATGTCTATTCTTGGAAATGTATCTTAATACATATGTGCAAACTCTGGGTGTATACCAAGGAGTTAGATTACTGATCATATGATTAAGCACATATTAACTTTYCATAGGTAATGTCTAAAAGGTTTTTAAAATTTGTTGTGAAAATTTATACTCTAATCAGAAGTATGAGATTTCTTTCATCTATAGTCTTTAATATTACTTAGAATTGTCAATATTTGGACACTTAGTTATTCTGTTAGGTGTTTAATAAAGTCTCATTTAGTTTTCTTTTTTTAAAAAAATGTATTTGTTCTTTTTAGATATACATGACAATACAGTATATTTTGACTTATATACTATATATGGAATATGACTTTCCATTCTTGTGATTGTACAGGATGTGGAGTTACACTAGTCATGTATTCATACATGAACATAAGAAACTTATGGCTGATTCACTACTGTTTTTCCTATTCCCATTMCCCATCCCTTGCCTTCATTCCCTTTGCCTAATCCAATGAACTTTTATTCWCCACACCCCACTGGTTATATGTTAGCATCCACATATCAGAGAGAACATTTAGCCTTTAGTTTTTTTTTTTTGAATTGACTTATTCCACTTAGCATGATAATCTCCAGTTCCATCCATTTACTGGCAATACCATGATTTCATTCTTCTTTGTAGCAGAGTAATATTCCCTTTTGTATATATACCACAGTTTCTTTATCCATTCATCTCTTGAAGGACATCTTGGTTGGTTCCATAGCTTAGCTATTGTGAACTGAGCTGCTATAAATATTGATGTGACCATATCACTATAGTATGCTGGCAGTTTGCAAAGGAGTGGGATAATTAGGTCAAATGGTGGTTTCATTCCAAGTGTTCTAAGGAATCTCCATACAGATTTCCAGAGTGGTTGCACCAATTTGCAGCCCTGTCAGCAATGTATGAGTGTACCTTTTTCCTTACATCCTCGCCAACATTTAATGTTACTTGTATTCTTGATAATTGCCATTCTGTTTGGAGTGAGATGAAATTTCAGTGTAGTTTTATTTTTTTCTAATTGTTAGTAATGTTGAACACTTTTTCTTATATTTTCTTATATTTCTTATATGTTCATATTTCATTTCTGGGAAATACCTGTACAGTTTCTTTGCCCAATTATTGATTGGGTTATGTTGTTGTTGTTGTTGTTGTTAAGTTTTTTGAGTTCTTTATATAACCTGGAGATTAATGCTCTGAGTTTCAGGTGGCAAAGATTTTCTCCCATTCTGTAAGTTCTTTCCTCATGTTCTGATTATTTACTTTTCTGTGAAGAAGCTTTGTCATTTGAAACCATCCCATTTACTCATTGATTTTACTTCTTGTGGCTTAGGAGTCTAGTTGAGGAATTCTTTTGCTAAGCAGACATAATGGAGATTTGGGCCTACTTTTTCTTCTAGTAGGCACAGTTTCTCTGGTCTAATGCCTAGGTCCTTGATCCACTTTGAGGTTTGTGCAGGGTGTATGATAGGGGTTCAATTTCAATATACTACATATGGATTTCCAGTTTTCCCTACACCATTTGTTCAAGAGGCTATTTTTTCCTCCCATGTATGTTTCCAGCACCTTGGTAAAGTACGAGATAACTGTAGTTATGTGGGTTTGTCTCTGTGTCTTCTATTCTGTACCCATTGGTATTTATGTCTGTTTTGGTGCAAATACCATGCCATTTTTGTTACTGTGGCTCTGTAGTATAATTTAATGTCTATATTGTAATGCCTCCTGCTTCTCCTTTCTCACGAAGGATTGCTTGGCTATTCTGGGCCTTTTATTTTTCCAAATGAATTTAATGACTGCTCTTTCTATTTCTATGAAGAGCATCATTGGAATTTTAATAGGAATTATATTAAATCTGTATAGCACTTTTGGTAGTATGGCTGTTTTGACAATATTAATTTTGGCTACCCAAGAACATGAACGATCTTTTCATTTTCTAAGGTCTTCTTTAATTTCTTTATTTAGTGTTCTGTGGTTTTCATTGTAGAGATCTTTCACCTCTTTTGTTAGATGGATTCCTAAGTATTTTATTTTATTTTATTTTTTGAGGTGAATGGGATAGTTTCCTGATTTGTCTTTCAGCTGATTCATCATTGGTATATAGGAATGCAATTGATGTGTGGGTGTTGGTTTTATATCCTGCTGCTCTGCTGAA